GATTTTCCCTGTTTCCCTCCTGCATAAAATTGATCTGATGAGGAGGACTAAACAAACGACCTCTAAATTAATTGGAATTCTCTCCGCCCCAAAGCAGTGCATCTATCTGTGTGGGAATGGTAGGGAGGTTTTTAAAGAAGAGACGATAAGACAGAGCAAGTAAAAAAAAAAGTTAGCATCAGCCTCGAATCAGCCTAGAATTGAAGGTGACTGGTATATTGAGAGATCCAAAGCCTCCAAGTGAATGGAATATCACCTTGTCTCTTGTCCTCGGAAGACAGACAGAGAAAAAAGGAAAGTGCATGTTTGTGCGCACACGTTGTTCTTTTGGAGTATGACTGCATCAGTGTTGAGGTCACTGAACTGTAAAGTAAACCACATGTGGAGGAGGGATGGAAGAAATAAAGAAATGAAAAGATGCTAGAAGTTGTAAAAACCCGAGGTGGACATCACAGTATGTTACGAGGAGTTAATCTCGACAGCGAGTTCAGGGGCCAAATCCTCTCGGAATCAGGGCACATTATCTTTCTAACGTGGCTGACGATCACCATCCATCTTGCCGCGCTGGTGTCCAGAGGCAGAGGCTAAGCCATGAAGTGCACGGTAATCACAGCGGTATTCTGTGCTGATATACCCGTCTCCTTCCTGGTCGTGGATCAAACGGCTCGAGCTCCCTTTGAAGTGGAGGGGCCGTCCGCTCGGGGAGGAAGGTACGACTCTCTCCATAGGCTAATGAATCAAATTCTTCCACTAATTATCTCTCTGTACGAAGGGGAAATTGCAAAACATCATTGGTCCTCTGGCTTTCTTTAACTCAGCAATGGTGGCAAATGTGAGTAGGGAAGATGTTTGACAGTAGCACCGCTGCCTCTCTCTGCTCTATTAATGTGCAGAGGCAGAAAACCCACAGACGACCTGAACACTGAACTTAAGAGTGTGGTTTTTGACTCACACCAGACAACACGTACAAGTAATCATCAATGAACCAGAAATTATTCATTTGCATAACGTGTAACAATAATGAAATAATTAAAAGCACATTTCCATCCAGTGCAGAGTCATTTATAAGATAACTTCTCTCACTGACAGAACTGGCTTTTGTGGGGGCTGATGTCACACATACTAATAGAGCAGTGAGAGGGATACTTTCCAGGTGAGCTCGACTAATACAGCAAATATACTGTTATTCAGCATAATTACAGCTTGGAAGGAGCAGGACGGCTGATTATCCTTCTCTCACAGGGTAAGATCACGTATTTAAATACGGTAACTTAATATGTAGTCAAGCTTACAACAGAAACCCTGAAGAGGCAACCACAACAGGTTGAAATGACAGATTCCTCCTCGCCAAGTGTAGTCAAATAAACGTCTCCGTTCTTTAACAATGAATCTACAGTGAAAAACTCTAAATGGTTAGAGAATGCTTGCATCTTGTGTTTCTCTGCTTTTTTTTATTGATTTCTCAATTACTCGCTACCTAAAGTACCTTAACTCACCACAATGATTTAATGTAAAGAACAAAAACACTAAAACGGAACACAAGAGTTGTCAATGTGAACTTTAGAGTAGATTCATCCCTAACTGCTCACTCAATCTTGTAATATGTGCACATTATTACATCCCTTCAGTACTTCTGTTTACCATGCATGTCTACACACTATGTACAGTATATTTGATGGAGATTAAAACCTTCATTCCAAGCATTGTTTCCACTTAGCATTCAATTGTAAAAAAATATTTTCATATTTATGCAATTCAAAGAAAGTTCTGATGGTTTATTCTATTATTGGTCTATTCTTTTTAAATACTGCAATATTTTTTTTTTTTTCAGTCTATTACAGTTTTACTAGTGACTGGAATCTGAAAATGTTTCAGTATTTAGTTTGTAAGCCATGCCATAGTGACATCAATAACAGAACAACAACAGCAAATGCAGGTTTCACACCTAGAAACAAAAGTAAAGTACCGTAACCCTAACCCTACAAAAATTCCAGGTACCAGTACGGTATTTGTTTGAATGTGAATGATATCCTTTGATTGGTCCTCAGTCAGGGTGGGATTAGTCCTAAACCCAGGAGGGGGCAGGATCAACACATGATTAGTATTAAATTGACAGAATTCTCCATTTCTGCCAAATTTACAATAAAAATAAATGTAATACAGAAAATCAGTATTTTCTATTAAGTGGTCACTGAAGGCAGAATGTTGTCCTAGACTTAGTCCACCATCAATCTACAGTATGTGGGGTGCTGGCCTATGTCCCCTTAATGTCCCGAGGTCCCCAGAGGATTACCAATCCTGCCCTAACATTGTCAGAGTAAATCTAATTTGTGATTGTGGGGATAAAGTTTGACCTTTACTATACGTGATAGCTTCGCTGACTTACTTGATTCATGGTGCGACAGTACAGGCCACAGGTGAGAGCAACTGCTGCCAAACGCCCCTGAACAGTTTGTCATTCCTGAAATATAGCGTCCCCTCTCAGGGATCTAGAGATTGTGACTGTGGTCAGGAAAGGCATGATAAACAATGAGAGGAAAGTTATGGACAGAGACCTGCTCGTTTATGACTACACTCCTCGACAGCAAAGATATAGCATTCCCATGGCGACGGTAGAAGAACTTGGCAGCGTTACAGAGGCAGCGTCTATGCAGACTTCCTCCCTGATGTGTTTGGGCAATAACACAGTATTTGTAGCCTCAGATATGTCCTTATGAGAGGATATGGCAGACAGAAAAAAAATTCTACTGTCTGGTGGGCAAATGTAACTGTATTTCATATCAGGAGGGAAGGTCACTGTGCAGAAATACAACAGCTCGCAAAGGTACAACAGATTTCATATTTTCTTGGTTTATGGCTTAACTCATGCTCAGTTGTTACAATGTTATTTTTATGTAAGTTGTATTGCTTTACAAGAGAGAAAAAAATGGAGTAGATAAATATTTAGTTTGTAGATTATTAGTATAATTTCTGAAATATGCCTCTGAAATAAAATCAAAGCAACAGGGATTAAAGATATGATATGTAACAATTCTTTTCTAAAAACAACTAGATCTATATTATAACGCGTAACGTGAATAAAACATAAATACATGACCTCATCTGTAAATATATGAATTGCGCTTGAGTTGCGTCAGGTAGAAGACAATAACTCCCATGATTCCACACTGCTTCACAACACCATCAAACTAGGTCTTAAGTTATTGTTTTGATTGAGAGCAACATGTATCATTTAGTTCAGTTCAGCTCTATGTTGCTGTGAAGGAATCTGTATCAGCATGCTGTATGTTGTTGTGTTAAGACCTGGAATTGTGTCACATATCCTGATTTGATAGGATTAGCCTCAGCACCAGCAGTTGCACTGAACATTTTGTTACATCACATACGGCCGAACATGTAAGTTCCATCTGGCTGAATGTCTATTGGTGATATGTAATTAGGCTGTGTAGTCTTAAGAAGAACAAAGATAAGTGGTCAAAGATGGAGCGTAAGAGGATTAGAAAGGCGCCGAAAATGGCTCCAGTTTAGAGTCATCTCTTTTAGTAGAATCATGACGGAGAAAATATACCAAAGAACACAACACACATTTTTTAGAAATAACGCAAACTAGACGAAAGCTACCTATTCCTGGGTTGTGTTTCTCCAAAGCAAACAGGGACTGAGCCGACACAGATGGACAGAGATTCAGTCTAAATTAGCCTTTAGACGTCTGACTGGCAGCAGGGTTCAGTGTGTGCCTGCATCAACTCAATTGGCATTCTGTGGCAGGTGGTTGGAAAGGTGGTTAAGAAGACAGCTTCAATCCCGTCTGATGCAATGAAGTCTGACATTTCTACAGGGATTCGTCTTTTTATTCGCCACAAATTTCCAATCTTCTACTTTCATCATACTCTAACAAAACCATCATCTGCTGTAACAGGAAAAAAGGGAAAATGGTGATAGCCATTTGTAAGATGTGGTGAATAATACTGTCAGAACGACATCCAGAGAGTGATCAAACAGAGAGCAAACAGGTATTTAACCGCTGTTCCAGTCACGGCGAAAGGATTCACCCTTGATATGACAGGGAGTTTTTACTGGCAGCAAAAAGAATTCTTCACGATTTCCTTCCATTTGCAGCTGAAACCAGGGACAGATTTTAGTGAGACTCAGATTGCTTAACATCTGTGCTCTTGGCCTTGCACTGTCTCAGAGTTGTTACTTTTGTCTGGGGGAATAGAGCGGGTGATGAGGCGAGAAGTGGCACAGGCTGAAAACTCTCCCTGTGGGCAACAATTTCTCCAAGGTTGCTTTCTTGCAAATAAAACCAGTGGTTGCCATGGATGGAGAGGCTGATAGAATCAACGGGTGAAAAAAACAACAACGTGAAAATGGATTGACTGACTTGTCGCCGTTAATGAGACAGAGTCTATTGAAGGAAGGATGAAATACATTGATGAAAATCAACTTAAAGTGGAAATGTACTACATATGTTTTTTTCCATTTAAGTTCTTTGTACTATATTTTTGTTCATGGTTGATAGTTTTAAAGGAACACATTAGGATTATTAATGTAGCTGAAAATTAAAGGTGTGTAGGCCTTAGTGAGATCTAGTGGTTAAGTTGTATGTTGCAGCAGAATACCCTCACCCTCCCCTTCTAAACCAGTTGTTATAAAAACTCAAGAGGTGTTTAGTTTGTCCATGGCGGCCTCCATAGATGTAAATATAAAGTATTGAAATAGTAGGAGCTCATTCAGGATTAAGAAAACAACAATTTGTACAATGAAACACATTAGTGAAAACATTATTATATATCTATAGATCTTTTCAATAGACCTTTCACCTAAATCTTACACACTGGAAAGTGTCTAGCCATAATATTTGGTCTCAAATCAAATGTATCCATGGTTTAATTGTTTACTTTGTGAAAACACTTCTTTGGGTCATTCAGACTTTCAGACCAATCGCAGGAAGTTGAGACAACATTACACAAATGAAGAAAAAGAAGCGGTAGGCTTACCGTTCTCTCCTGACACGGAGTCGCCCAGGTTCACAGGACTGCTCGCAGTCTTCGCCTCCAGCAATACGTTTGAACAATGAGCATGTTCATGTTGTTCAAGTGCTGCAGATGAAGTTGGTGTTGCTGGTAGTAAAACCTGAAAGGTGACAATGAAATTAACAAAATGAACCAGTTAATTCATTTTCACACCGATCGTATGAAGACAGTACATATATATATGCATAAAAAGTATTTAGCTAGCTCCCTCAACAATATGAAACCAAAACTAATTAGATTAAATGTAAACAAAGTAACAAAGACATGAAATGTTTCTGTAAAATAATAGAAACACCCGTCTATGCAATACAAGTCAACAGTGCAACAAACTGAAGGCTCCATAATGACAAAATTAAACACATTAGCATTTTAATCCTCATGAAGGTGCAGCTGTATTAGACTTCATTAGTTTTAGGCTGGTATACATAATTAACTGTCAACTATGTGCATGTAATTTATGAATTGACTCACAGACTAGCAAGCCAATGTGCAATTACATTTTTGACAAATGGTTAACACTCAAATGTGTCTGCATCAAAAGAAATGATATCAAAGGCATCACATAAAAAAGCATCTGTTGAGCATTGTCACGTCATAAATAGCACAAATGACAACAAAAGGAGTAAAAGTTTATAATGAAAAACCAGGCAGAGGACAGTGCAGTCCTGCAGTGGAGCACACGATGTCTTTTGGCATTTGACTAATAATCCTTAGCGCCAACAGGCTTCATTAAGGCAGAACCTAGGCAGAGATTTCAGCTTTGGGCACATAGACCGTTGTGGCAGATTGCAATGATTCACCCCCTTGAATCCCTATCTCACCCCCTCCAGTCTTGTTTTTCACAACAACGTGACTGCCAAGCCATCAGCCCACCCAAGCTGCTGCACCTTTCTTCTCTTCTGACATAAATTGGCCAAAAAACAAACTACTTCATGGATGTTTCTTCTGTGCCCGCACACATGCACAAAAACACCCTCTCCCCCAAATCCGAGCTCTAATCCTATTTGCCTGTGTCATTTTGGGGACCTTTGGCAGGGTAAGAGAAGCAGTAAGCTGCTCTTGTCTTAAGGGCAGCATGTGGAGAGTAAGACACATTAATCACAAGGGCACCAGGAAGGAGCAGGAGAGAAAGCATCGGAGAGTGAGGTGGGTGTTTGAAAGGTTGTACTGCAAGAAATTACCATCAGTTTGCCACCGCTCCCGTCTCACATGCTGGAGGCGTATGTGGCATCGCATTAGTATTTGTCCAGAAAACATCAGGTTGAGGGCAAGTACTCACATCACAGACGCTCTGTTATATAAAGACATGCAAATGATTGTCGGTATGCAAATGCTCGCTCTGGAAATAACCAAGTAGATGCAAAGTAAATGTTTTTTGCCTGTTCATTGTCTAGTGAATTGAGAGTCATGCCTTCAGATGCTTGCAAATATGAATTTTGTATTTTATTTGTAATGCTGAGATGATCCTGGGAGATCAAGGCAATATTACAGCACATCGAGCATGTTAGGAGTCCTCCCTGAAGATCTGGCCAAGTACCACTGAGGATTATACAGAGCAAAAATAGGTTTGCAAAAGCGCACGGTAGCAATTCACAAAGGATTTAAATACATATTTGGACAGATTAATGGATGGATGGACAGACAGACTTGTGGGCGATCCATCATCACCATGGGGGGAGCGTCTTTGCCTCCGGGAGAGACATGTTTTAAGAAAGCAAACAAATTGGCTGCGTTTCCCTTCATGAAAGCTAATTCTCACAATAATGAATCTTTAGCCAGCAGTGATTTAATAAAAAGAGGCTGATTCTGTGCAGAGGGCTTCATAAATCTTAGGGACAAAACTTCTGCTTGAAATCAGGAATGATTTACTGATGTGATATTCACACAATTACCAGTTTTGGCCTAAACAAAGGAATCATGAAGATCGTTCCAGAGGCAGTGGAAAAATAATCCCTTCAAGTCCATTGATCCCTGCAGGGCTGGGTCTCTGTCAGTAAAATAACCCCTGGCCCCTCAGTCTGTACATCTCAGGCCGGAAAGGGGAAACAGACCTTGGATCCACTGAGATATGAAACCTCCTTCCAATAACCTGGAGCCTCCCTATTTTTAGATGACCCTCTTTTCTTCATCTCCTCAGCTCTGGGCAAGATGTTTAAGTAGGTCTAGCTTTCTGAAGTTCTAGAAGAACCACGATGACAAATGCCAGAGGCCAATGACCCATGTCCTCTTTAAATGTATTTTCTGTCCCAAAAAAGAAGATGTTAATCAATCAATCCCAATCCCATTTTCTTGGGTTAAAGCTGAAGTGCTCGACTTCTAGATATAAATGAACATCCATTACATTCAAGCCCTTTTCCTAATGGGTTCATGCAATGCTGATTAAGAATTTCAGTGGCAGGTAAATCCCTGTGTTTTGTAATGCCGCAGAGGTTTTAAACTGTGTCTGTGGTAATGTTCCTGTACTCACACAGGAGCGATGCGTTGTATGTCGACCTGCACAGAGTTTGACAAAGATAAAGAAGAAAGCAACCATGGCGATGGTACTAGTAGCCTCCAGAAAAAGTTAATGATGCTGCGAATTAAACAAAAGAAGGATGACAGTCTAAAAAAGAAAGAAAGCGACTGCGAGGACAAACACACCATCGTTTTGACTTTGCGTCATTGGAGAGCTCTGAAAGAAGAGAGGGGGCTAATTGCAGAAATGCAGTGACACTGTTCGTGACACTACCAAACAGAGGAGATGAAATCCATCATCATGGAGTAAAACAATTGAGGTAACCCTTACAGGAAGTATAATTTGGAGGATGTTAACAGGTGTACGTACTTTGTATTATAATGTAATTGTGACAGTTAAGAAATCACAAAAATGTTCTACAGACATTGGATTGACAGCAGGTTTCAATCAAAGCAAAATGCAGTAGAAACCTGCCTTCATGCAAGATGAGAGAAACGTGTGAGAGTCAAAAGGTTCTTCAAAGGTCGTGTGAAACATTTAAAATTCCTCCACATCAAAACCACTCTCACCAAAACCGTGTATTCCCTTTGCAACCTCACCGACACCCCCTGCCTTGCAGTACCCATTCAATACCAGGGCCATTTGCAGCTTCAGTAATGATGATGGCAGAGAGACCGAGCAAGGCTTTGAAAGGCGTCTCTTTGGACTGTGTGGGCTTGAGATTAACACACAGCTGCTGCTCCTGCAGAAACGCTCCGGCTTTGAAATCTCAAATGAGGACCAAGAAGGGAGAGATATCTGCAATCTTTTAATACATCTGGTTTTCTGCAACTTTAATCACTGAGGCCAAATGATGACTTATAGTAGCCAAGAATAAATGATGATATACAGGGGCATGCATGACCTTTGAGTATTCTGTCACAGCGCGTCATGTCCATCCACATCACTTCCACTAGTGAGTAGGTCTACGGTGAAAAAGGAAAGTGGGCAAATGTTCAGATTCATTTTTAAACTGAATATTATTTGCTCTGGCCAATGATGAGGCAAGAAATAACATGTTTCCTGTTTTATAAATGAAACATATTCAAATGTCTCTTCTTGTGAACATCATAGTTTGTCATAATTAAAATAAATAAATAAACAATGTTTTTCAACCTTGAACACTGACTTGGTTTTGTCTTTGCTCTGATCACTGTGACTCACCTGTAGACTCCGGAACAAATGTGGAGGATGTGAAAGCAACAATCAACTGAAACTAAATGCTAGATAGAAATATACTGATATTATATCAGTGACAATGTTTTAGCTGTGTATTGTTCCTCTCTGATCTGAACAATGACGTGTTCAGAGTGTGGATCCGAACGCAGTTCTTAAGAGGAACCATATCAATCGTTCAAGCATATAAATGACTTGACAGCTATTTCTGAAAATCTGAGAAAAAAAAGATTATTTTGTTTGGTTAATTGAGAGAACAAATTAATCTATGATGTTTTTACATTTCAAAAGACGGTGAACAATTCACTGGGGATCGTAAGTTATGACACAACAAATCATTCATGTTTTGAAAAATATTAATGTCTTCCCTGGATCTATTTGCAGAAATGTAAAAAAGACATGACTCACCAGCAGAATGTTTTCTTATTTTACCTTCTCAGTTGTAATTTTACAATGGTGAGAGTTTTGTCAGCTTTACCATTAGCACTTTCAAACAATTACTAATTACCAGAACCATCTCAACATAAAGTATGTGTGCATTAAGAATGTTTCAAGTCTAAAGTTTATGGTAATAAACAAAATAAATTCAGATTTGTTTTTAGAGAATATTAAATATATGGATTTCCTTTCTTTGTGATATGAAACTTGCTGGGGGCCACAGACTTGATGATGTCGAGGTTTACTTTGGGGCAGGGGCGCTGAAAAGCCACAGTTGTACTATGTGCATTATTAAAAGCACCAATGATCAACATCAGCGCCGGAGAGCATGGAGAGATTATTAGATCGAAGGCCTTTCAATCCCTGCAGGAAAAAAAAAAACTGCACAAAAATGTCTCTGGCTACATTGTTTGACTTCCTCAAGGCCAAACAAGCTGATGAAATAGTGTCCACAGCAGACAAAACTAAGATATGAATGCACATTTATCAGGTTTAAAGTGATATTGTGATATTTAAAGTGATATTTTACAACAAAACATTTGAGGATGCAACACATAGGGGCCTTTCTTAGACCGGGCACTAGATGGCGCTGAGATTGACCCATGGGTCTTAGCTGTTGAGATGTAGTCAACGTTTTCGCTGTTTGAAAAGCAAAAAGCCTTTGAGCCCCCTCATGCTCATAGGCGTGTTTGTGTAAAAATCAGGGGAGGCATCGTCATTTAGGATGCATTGCTTTGTGCCTGCATAGGTGTGTGCACAATGCATGTTACACACACACACGCAGGTGGTCTGCTCACATGATAAGTTTCCTCTGCAGGGAAGTGTTTCCTCTGCAGGGAAGTGTTCTCTCCGACTACCAGACTGTGATCATAACAGCGCTGCCAAGGTGAACAGTCCACCTGGCGTTTTGAGGGAAGAGGAGGCTGCACTCTGTTTTATTGCCTGTTTCACCCGAAACCGACTCTTGATTAATTAAGAGACGTAAGTACAAC